AGTGGTCCTTCCTCAAGCAGCCAGGAATCATTCGGATGGCCAAGGGGATTGTAGATGGATCACTTAGATGGCCAAGGGGATTATAGATGTAGGATGGCTCGTAATCAGGAATCGAGTCCTTAGTCGACATAGTTGTTCCCTTCCTGGGGGGCATGATATTAGTTTTCCAAAGTTTATCGCCTTGCTGAATGGAATGCAACGTTGGCTTAGTTAAAAGGAGAAGTTGTTGAAAGGTCAGCAGATTTCGATGACTCCGGAGTCCGTACTGAGATGAGGACCAAAGTTGATCCAGCTATTGGATGACCACCCAAAGAAAGGTTAAGGCAACCTACTACATCTCAGATGCATAGTATTTCATGCACTTCCACTGTACTGTCGTGTGAGTTTTCTTTAAACCGCAAGTACACTGCCCGAGCAAACTTCAGAACCGAAAATGAGTCATTCCGAAAAGTTCGGATGAACAGTGCTACCGGACCAAAATGGCTGGCGGAGCCAGGCAAAAGGGTTAAAAAAATGTCGCGCTGGCGCTTTGGCAGAGCTTGGGGTGCAGTTCTTTTCCGCCTCAGCAAAAAGAGGCTCGGATGTACTGGTGGTTTAAGGATTTTACTGAGCAATTGCTATTCTTGCTTCTGAGTCAATGATCGTTGGGCGTGGCTCAATCACACATTGTTCTTTTGGCATTCTTGTCTGCACATTTTTGAAGTGCATGCCTTGGCGTTCAGTTCTAATTCCTTGGGTTTCTTGCTATTCATAGCTGTAAATGCTCCTGCCGCCAGGTTTTGAACCCAGTCAGACTATTTGGTAGACTGTAAGGAGGTAATTTCTGTCAAGAAAATGCACCAACCAGTGTAGAAGCGTTTCGGAATGTTGTTGTCTTGAGCAGGAGGGGATGTGTTTTGCTCGTTAGCGAGTGATGGCAAGATGAGGGCGCAGCCATAGCTCATATTTTTCCTTTTTTGGAAAAAACGATCCTTACGGGCTCGGCGCCATATCCATTTTCGGGAGCATCAGCTCGATTCCAATTTTTTTTTTTTTGGACCATATCTCCATGGCATTTATGCGTGTCATCCTTGTGCAGGGGCCATGCTAATCTTCTCTGTATCACTCCAATTTTAACAGATGTCCCGAAGGACGTCAATTCGGCTCCTTTTTTTTTTTTCTCTTTTTTTTTTTTTAAAAGGGCGACGGCCTTGAGATATCATCATTGAGCTGACCGGCCCCAGGCAATTCATACATATTTGCTTTTACTCATCAAGTTCCATCATCTGGATTTGAACTCGGGTCTGTATTTCAACAGTTCGGCTCCTATTCCACCGGCAAGTCAGAAAAGTACACGATAAACCCCCTCTGAACATTTCCCCACGTTACGGCCCAGGGGATCTCTGACAGCATTAATTACTTCCACAGGAAGGATCTCTGACACATTTCCCCTCTGCTCATTGCTGTTGAGAACTTAGGTACCATTTTGCTCCCCTTTTGTTGTATCTTGGTCATGGACTGTCTGATACCCAGGTGGACATAATTTTCAGTTCGGCTGTCAATTTTTTTGGTGTGTAAGTTGACGAACGAGTTTCATTGGTGATTACCTATCTGATCTGAGCACATGAAGTTGAATTGGAATTTGGAAATTTAATAATTTATCGAATTCTGTGCGATTCTAAAATGTAGTCATGTGTAACTGGGAATTTTTGCTGCCTCCGGTACGAGCCCACTGTTGAGCAGAGATTTAAAGGGGGATTCGGCTTCGACCAATGTATAGGAGGAGTGGGTATAGACGATGACGGTTTGGGGATTAGACTAAAAAAAACATTAAAAAAAAAAAAAAAAGTCATGGGTAACTGACATTTTGTGCGTGAAATGTTCATTGCAGGCAGAGGCACGTGCACATCGTCGTGGACAGAAGAATGCGGTCAATGTGTACATATTCGCTGCAAAGGTATGAGCAGACAGCAGGCTACCAGTGCTGTGCGAGCTGTGTGCTGCCCGCACATACTCTGTGCGGCAATGCATCCACATTGTGGTGTCTGCTGGAAGTAACTAGACATGACCCCTACAGAGCTTTTGTACAAACAATCTTAGGTCTTTGCTCAACTTTTTGTTCCCGCTTTGTATTGAGATAGCAAAGTTGCAGTTCCCTCTGTACGAAACAGTTTTAGGTCTTTGCTCAAATCTGTTTCCCATACAGATTTAGATAGCACAGTCTCACCTCCCTGTTTTTTTTTTTATTAAATGCAGTGCGAAGTTGCGAACCAAGCAAGACAACCCAAAGAACAAATGCTCTCTCTCTCTCTCTCTCTCTCTCTCTCTCTCTCTCTCTCTCTCTCTCTCTCTCCCTCTCTCTCTCTCTCTCTCTCTCTCTCTCTCTCTCTCTCTCTCCCCCCCCCCCCCCCCCCCCCCCCCCCCCCCCCCCCCCCCCCCCCCCCCCCCCCCCCCCCCCCCCCCCCCCCCCCCCCCCCCTGTCCCCCTGTCTCTCTCTCAGCAAAAGCATGAATCATCATTGACATGGCAGCAAACAGATCAGTCTGAGCTCCTTTTGTATGAACAGTCTCAGGTCTTTTCTCCACTCTGATATTCCCCCTACACATTTAGATAGCAAAGTGTCAGATCCTTTCGTAATTCTCTTTCAAAATGGGCTCCCAGGCCGTTGCTTTATTGTATTTTTCCTTTAATAGTTCTGTACCACTGCTATATTCCTGTCAGCTAAAGTTCATGTGAGTTCATTCATCGTGCAGCCGTCGGCTTGTCTGGGAGCCTGCGTAGTTACCTTGTTGAAGCATCCTTGCATTCAATCATCACTTACGGCATAATTGTAACCGTATTACTTTTTCTTTGCTTCTTCTTCTTCTTTTTTGCAAAAACCAATTGTAGTTATAAGACTGGAAAACGGTTCCAGTTTCCCTTACACGCATTGCACGCATAATGCTGCCCCTCGTTATGGTCGAGAGATCAAATCCTGAGGCAGCAGCATTGATTACTTCCTGTAACAGGAAGGATGTACTATCGCTCACCTCTGTTTCTTTGACTCGTCTAATCTCTGTGAAAGGCCTCCCTCTGTTGCAAGCCACTAAACTGAACAATTAAAACCAGACGAACCAGGGCTTATCCCCAGAGGTGGAAACTGGGCCCAGCGCCGCTTGCCTTTTCCAGAAGGACTTCCCAAAATCACCTTCTAGAGCTGGAAACCAGGGCCCAGCATCCCTTATAAAAAAACTCATTAGAGTATTGTGTAATGACTCTAATGAGTCCCCCATGCATTCCATCACTCGAGTCTCGCACCAAGCGAAGTCGCACACAAGTGAAACATTTGAGAATCAGATGCAAAAGTAGGCAATTGCATCAAGTAACCGAAGTGTCTTCTTCTTACAGGTGGCTATGGCCTCTCACACACAATGCAGGTAAGCCTCACACATATATTCTCTCTTGACTTCTACTACTCACAGGTTGCACTCACGTTCCTCTCAGAATGTCTTCCACTCTCGCTCACATCTCTCCTTTCACACTCTCAAGCCACAGCTATGGTGCCTGGTGCCGTCAACTACCCTAATGCTACTCTCGGTTCTACTCGGTCAGCCGTCGCATCAATGCACGAGACCACAGCAGCACTTCTGCATTGAGCAGGCAGCGTGATGTGCTGACGTCCAAGCGCTGCTGGGCTTTTTTACTTGCTGAGCTTCGATTCGGGCCTCCGATGTTCGGACCCTTTCCTCTGTAGCTGCACTTGGCATTCGACATCTGAAAGTAACGGCCTTCTGGAATAAGCTGCGACGGACAATTTTTCATACAGAAATCAGTCTTTATCTGCTGAAATACAGGATGCTTCGGGAAAACAAGGATTTCCTAGGAAAAAAAGAGATGATCTTCATAAATTAGCTGAATCAAATTGTAGCTTCTCATTCGTTGGTGGTAAGATGGTACGTATAGAAATCACAACCAACCAAGCCCGAGTACGTGCAGCCTTTATTGCCAGTTGTCCAATGGCCGGTTGTCCTGGCCGGACTTCCTGGCCGGGAGTTGTCCGGGATCCCGGAAAACTCATTTTTTAAAAATCTGCGAAGCAAAAAGAAGAAAAAAGGAAAAAGACGGGGGGTATATGCACCACCAGGGCACCCCCGAAATTGTTTTTGAGGCCATTCAGAGCAAATTTTTTTTTATAGGGAAAACGGTGCTGGGGGTGGAGAAGGGGGGAGGGGGGGGTGGAGGGTGCGCTGCTGCAGAAGGAGGAGGAGGAAGAGGAGGAGGAAAACGAGCAGAAGGAGGGGGCCATGACGATGGAGGCAAATCGGGACGCCGTGAGGAGATGTGGGGAGTTCAGCAGGTAGGGATGGCGACGCAGCCACGACCGAGGGGAATTATGTGGATGACGACGATAGGGATGAGAAGGAGGAGGAGAAGGACGGGGAGGAGGTGGAGGAGGACTTAGTTGCGTCCGCCTGCCCTCTTTTTTTTTTTTTTAGGGGAGTGGCGACGACAACCTGGAGGACGATGGCGAAAAGGGGATGTGGGGAGTCGGGCGGGTAGGGATGGCGACACGGCCACGTTGGAGGCTCTCGTCGGAGGGGGATGGATGATGACAAAAGGGATGAGGAGTAGGGGAAGGACGGGGAGGAGGAGGAGGAGGAAGAAGAAGAAGAGGAGGAGGAGGTGGAGGAGGAGGAGGAGGAGGAGAAGCAGGATGACGAATAAGATGAAGAAGAAGAGAAGGAGGAGGACGAGAAGGAGGATGAGGAAGACGAAGACAAAGACGAAGATGAGGAGGAGAAGGAGGAGGAGGAAAGGGAGGAGGGGGGCGCGGCATATGGGGGCCGCGGCGATGGAGGCAAATTGGTACGCCGCGGCGATGGACGAGGACGGGAGGAGGAAGAGAAGGAGGAGGAGGAGGAGGCGGCGGTGTATGGGGGGCGCGGTGATGGAGGCAAATCGGTACGCCCACAAATGGTTAATGGAGAACCTCATTTTCAGGACCTGGGTAACGAGTCCAAAACTGAAATTAGGGTTTCGGGGTCAATTTTTTTTTTTTTTTTTTTTTTTTTTTTTGCCTTTTTTTTTTATGGTTCAAGGTTGGTGTGTGCCAAATTTTGTGTCATTTGGAGAATTGGAATTTCATCTGTTAAGATTTCTACATCATTTCTGAAACTTCTCAAGATTTCTGAAATTGAGATGTTGGCGAAATTTCATGAAAATGCACTTTTGCCTTGCTGTTTTATATGGTTTTTTTTTTGTGTGGATTTTTTTTTGCAGTTAGTATGGTCTCCATACTCTCCACTCTACGGATTGGTGGAAAGTTTGATTAAAATGACCCTTTGAAAATTAGGGTCTCCGTTAACCTTCTCTCGGTACGCCGCGGTGATGGACAAGGATGAGGAGGAGGACGAGGAGGAGGAGGACGAGGAGGAGGAGGAAGAACGGGGGGAGGAGGCGCCTAGGAGGAGGAGGGGGAGGTGGAGTATGAGGAGTACGGAGAAGAGGAGGAGGAGGACGAGGACGACGAAGAAGAAGTGGAGGAGGAAGAAGAAGAGGAGGAGGAAGAAGAAGAGGAAGAGGAGGAGGACGACAAAGAAGAAGATGAGAAGGACGAGGAAGAGGGGGAGGAGGACGGCGACGGCAATGGACAACGAGGACGAGGAGGGGGTGGAGGACACGGAGGAGGAAGAAGAGGAGGAGGACGACGAAGAAGAAGATGAGGAGGACGAGGAAGAGGAGGAGGAGGAGGACGACGGCAATGGACGACGAGGACGAGTAGGAGGTGGAGGACAAGGAGGAGGAAGAAGAGGAGGAGAAGAAGGAGCAGGAGGACATGGAGGAGGAGGACGTGGACAGAAAGCAGGAGGAGGAGGAGGAGGATGGCGGCAATGGACGGCGGAGGAGGAGGAGGAGGATGGCGGCAATGGACGGCGGAGGAGGAGGACGGCGGCAATGGACGACGAGGACGAGGAGGAGGTGGAGGATAAGGAGGAGGAAGAAGAGGAGGAGAAGGAGGAGGAGGACGGGGAGGAGGAGGAAGTGGACAGAAAGAAGGAGGAGGAAGTGGACAGAAAGGAGGAGGAGTAGGAGGAGGACGAGATAGAGGGAAAGGAGGAAGAGGAGGTAAAGGAGGAGGACGAGGGAAAGGAGGAGGAGAGATGAGAGAGACATAGAGGAGGAGGAAGAAGAGGAGGAGAAGGAGGAGGAGGACAGGGAGGAGGAGGACGTGGACAGAAAGCAGGAGGAGGAGGAGGAGGACGGCGGCAATGGACGGCGAGGACGAGGAGGGGGTGGAGGACAAGGAGGAGGAAGAAGAGGAGGAGGACGASGAAGAAGAAGAGGAGGAGGACAAGGAAGAGGAGGAGGAGGAGGACGGCGGCAATGGACGACGAGGACGAGGAGGAGGTGGAGGACAAGGAGGAGGAAGAAGAGGAGGAGAAGAAGGAGGAGGAGGACAGGGAGGAGGAGGAAGTGGACAGAAAAGCAGGAGGAGGAGGAGGAGGACGAGATAGAGGGAAAGGAGGAAGAGGAGGGAAAGGAGGAGGAGGAGGAGAGAGATGAGAGAGACATAGAGGAGGAGGAAGGAGGAAGGGGTAGGAGACGGGGGGTGAGGGGGGGAATGAGGTCGGAGGGTACGCACCTGCACAGGGGTTCAAACACCCGTCAGGTGGTGGCCGTTGGCACACGCTTCGGCAGTATGTCCAACTCCCATGACATGCCGAAGTCACGCGCCGGGGGACGGCGCTCGGGCTCGCAATTTGAATTCGAATTTGGCCCGATCCCGTCCGTAGATCTCTTAGGCCCTACCGGCCCTACTGGCCTTACAAAAATCGCCCGTCCCTCCCAGGGGTGCTACGTACCCCAAACCCCACCCCCGCAGGCCCAAAACCGTCAACACCCCAACCCCATTTATTTAACCAGCCCGGACACTGGGCCCCGCTCGGACGACCGGGCGCGTTTTCCGATCAGACAGCCTGGAACTGAAAAGGGTCCCGGACATCCGGGCTGGTAACCTAGGAAAGACTTCTCTTAGGATAATTATTACTGATACGTTTCAGTTGCAATAATTGAGTGCACTTATCACAGGTTTGTTTTTGTTAAATTGCAATAACTCAGATCAAATCTGCATAAGCGGTGGGCTATAGATCGTCACTTTTGGTCGAAGGCCTGAAACAGGGGATAAAAGTCACGGCCTAAGTCTGAGAAAAAGCCTGGGCCAAGGCCTAAGGCCAAGGGGTACCCAGAGCAGGGCCAAAACAGCATTCAGAGGCCGTACGAGTCACGTTTGACCTTTGGGAAAGTCAACAGTCAACCCCAGCACGTGATTCCAGGCCAAAAGATCAAAGTCAACCCGCTGGTCAGCCATGGCCGTAGATCAGATGCATATCGTTGGTTGTCTGCAGGTATCCAGAAGAATCTGGTCCAAGTGGGACACGTGGGAAATCTGCAACTGTGCGGCATCCAGGCCATTGGCCTCAGATTGATCTGGGCCGTCGATCCCAGGAGACCAGAGGCTGGTCATCGTAAGTCAACACTATAAAGTTGGCTTGATGCTGGTGTGTAACGCAAGACTGCTGGAGCAGTATGCTGGCGCCAGAGGCTGGTAGTGGGCGCCAGCCTTGAGGGAGATTATGCTGTTGTGGCCTTTAGGGGACTTACCTGTGATGTCGTGTGTGAGATGCTGCTCGTCTCCAAGAAGGTGCGGAAGATTTGCGCCATCCTGCCTGTTTGATGCTGATGTGGATGGAGGATGGGCCCCCTGTTGTGACCTGCTCATTGTACATGTCAGAGATCGTCAGAGGAGAACTGCATCACTGAGGCAGCGAGAGAGGGA